GACATGTGTGTTCTGAGATGCCTTTCTGCTCACCACCGTTGTAAAGAGTGGTGAGTTACCATAACCTTCCTGTCAGATCGAACCAGTTTGGCCATTCTCCTCTGACCTTTCTCATCAACATGGCATTTCGGCCCGCACTACTGCCGCTCAGTGAATGTTTTGTTATGTTTTAGCACCATTTTGTTAAAAAAGTCTAAAGATTCTTATGTATGAAAATCCCTGGAGATCAGCGGTGTCTGAAATACTCACCAAACACCCGGACACCAATAACCATGCCATGGTCAAAGTGACTGAGATCACATTTTCCCCCATTCTGATATTGTATGTAAACATTATCTGAAGCTCTTGACTTTTATCTGCATGATTTTATGTAATACACTGCTGCCATATGATTGGCTGATTGGATAATTGCATGAATGAGCAGGTGTAGAGGTGTTCCTAATAAAGTGATGGGTGAGTGTATTAATAAGGCCTTATTTATACACAAGCTTTAAGAGCCAACTGATATCATATTTCTTTCTTATTTTAGAAAGTTTGTGTTGGCTGAAAGAGAGCCAGTGTTTTAGGCCATGGTTTAACACAATTATATACAGTAAGGCACTTTCACGCCTATTAATCCATTAGCGGAGTCCAAATCAGAGCAAAATCGATACTTTTGGTTCATTTGCTACTTGGCTGGTTTAATTTCACACTACACATATTTAAACAAACCAAAAAGTGAAAAAAAGCCTTGGCTGAGGGGAAAACGGTTTCATTTATTGATCAGAAATATGGCCACAGAAAAAGATAAACAAACCTTTACCAATTACATGTAATAATAATAATTTTTTTAAAAAATTACCCGAGCATTGAGAACACAGAGCAGGCTCTCAGTAAATTATTAGATAATTATATCAATAAAAACCTAAATAAATCGCATCTGCTGTTTAATTTCTCTTTCTGCTGTGCTATAGCTCTGTGCTTTGGCTCAGTTCATGCCTCATTACACAGTTTGGAGCTCTCATCTATAAAACAAAAATGCTGCAAACCAAAATACACTGCGTGCTTGTTTCACTGATTAAATTGCTTTCTCAGTGCAATCGAACCACACTGGATTTTGATTGGAAATGGACTGAGACAACGTCGGTCAGGCAGTCTCAAAGCCGTTCTTTTGTTCCACACCTGAGTGTGAATGCTGTGTTCCCACCTGCTGTAATGAACCACACCAAAGAGGTGTGGAAACACACCAGGGTTCAATTCAAATGGACTAAACGTTGCATATGTGGAAATGCCCTAAGAGGGTTTTTTTTGTCTGTCGTCTCTCCTGTTGCTTCCCAGTTGTTCTTGCCTCTCATCCTTATTCTACACTTCTCAGATCACTGCTTAACTTACAGGGTAGTGGAAATTAAAGGTCTAGCAGTTAAGCATGGTTGCAAGTTCAAATCCAAGGGCCACCTTTGGGTCCTTGAACAACACTTTTAAGGCTCAGTTGCTTAGCTTGGTGCTTGGACTGGTTGTTAATCACTTACTCATTCTGTGTAAGTCTGCTAAGTGAATAAATAGAAGTGTAAATGAATCAAGGGGAAGTAAAGTGGTTTTTTTTTTTTTTTAATATCAAGTTCTGCATTTGAGACATTACTCTGGGCACCATGTTTCAGATTATGTCCAGGACCTGAAAAAAAAAAAGAAGAAAAAAAGAAAAGTACTAGTATTAGTATTCCACTTGGATGGAAGGGGAGGAAGGGGAAAACAAGATCTGTAATCTGAATACAGTAATGTATTATTTGTGCAACATTTTTTGCAAAAGGAAAAGTGTAATAGTTTACAAATTACAGGAGCTTTGCAAAGGATGGGAAGCTATCAGAATAAAGTAACTAGAAATGACTTATTTACATCAATCAATTTGGGATATAGCCATAGGCACTGTTTTGACATACGATGTAGTTTAATAGTATACAATTTGTGACATGGCATGTCTTTCTTTACAGAGGCGTCTCCAGAATTGGGGATGCCACATATCATTATAGCGTAGTTGATTAGAATTACAGTACATAGTCAGACCATCCAAGGGACTCTTGGGAACATAATTTAAGAAATATTTTTTTAATTATTTGACATTCATAGGCCACAACTTTCAAAACACACTTCCATACATAAGTGACTTTGCTTAGTGCTAGAATGTGAGGTTTCCTCATTTGTTCTTGTGTTTAAGAATGAAAGCATGTGATGATGTGTGCATGTATTTAAGGAAATGACCAACATTCAAACCTTGTTAGCTACATTAGCTTTGCAACTCCAATGCAAAACTAAAGGAGCGAACATGGGATAGCAGATATATCTTGGTTGGTTGATTGCATTTGGGTTTCCTTTAAATCACTGCATTCTGTCAGCAGAGTAGAATATAATTAATGGACCATAATCAAGACAATAATATATTACCTATATTTGTGAGCAGAATATTTTGATGCTGTATGCCTGTTCCATGTGTCAGTGGATTTCCTGAGATTTCACCTGGCTTGAGCATGGTACATTGCAGTGTGGCCAGGACTAATTAGCCCGGATTGGATGGCATTATCGCCAACATTCGGCAGGCTGTGTTGATATCAGCTCTCATGCCTTGCAGTGATTTTAAAGAGTATTTAAGATCTCACTTGTTCTGGTCTTGAAAAATTAATGACCCTTTGAGTTTAGAAGATGTTTAAATCTGCCATATGCATATTTAAAATCCATGAAGCCACTGTGGATTTCACTGTGCACAAGTGATCCATCCATTTTTTTCTTGCTGTTCTTGGCAATTTCATCCATTTCTCTCAACTCCTTAGTCCTTCACTCTTTCTTTATTTCTGTCCTTCCTTGAACAGCTCCCTCGCCTGTGTTCACATGAGGCACCGCCAGCCTCAGCTTATTAAGGGATACAAAAATATCCCTCATTTCTCTTTTCCGAGCTGTTCTCTTGCTCCTCTAGGTCACACAATGTGACCTGCTGTTTTCCAGAAACCCATTTGGACTACACATCTGTGGAATATGATTGCTTTGTAATTACAGCCCGTATATTACATCAGGGCCTATTATGTGCAGAAGTAATATAAGCGTACAAAGCGCCTTGTGAACTTGCATAAGCCGGGCAAATAGAGCTTCCATGGCATGTGTCGACAAGTCAGATTTAACATTTTTAAGCTGTTTATGTGGCGTGTCCAGCATACAATTCCTTGTCTTCATATAGAAATGATAAACACTGCAGAGGGTGGTGAGGACCACTCAGAGGATCACCGGCACACAACTCGCAACACTACAGGACTTTTTACCGTACACGCTGTCTCAGTAAAGCAGCCCGGCTCCGAAAAAACCCCAGTCATCCAACACATCCTCTATTCTCCCTCTTCTCATCAGGAAGAAGTTACAGATCTATCAGCACTCGGACCACAAGATTCAATGACCTGAATAACCTCATTATGAACATTTAAAGCATTTAAAACACAAATCTGTTGTTCTTGTTCTGCATTACTGGACACGTTCTACATTGCACATACTTTTCTACTTTGCCCCTTAAGGTTTTACGGTGTGAGTCTTCTGTGGATGCTGTAGGAAAAGGTGAGGTTGTCTCTCATGGTTGGATGACTGTTGGTCTTTGGGCTGTGAATATGCCTGGATTATTTTGTGTAGCCTTGAGATATGACATAGAATTAGGAATTTCATTGTACTTTGTGTGCACATGATAATAAAGAGCTTTGGCTTGTATTAGAACAAGTGCATTAATATAATTATGTTAGGACTTCTCAGAGTCTAGTTCCAATTCCCAGCTTTTCTACGTTACTTTTCCTCCCTATTTTTATTACCTTAAAACTTCAACAATTGAAAAGCCAACAATTAAACATACACAATATCCTATTTATATCAAATGTAGTCTTAGTCAAGAGATGTTCGGTGTGTGATGTTTCCTTTTCATAGGCTACCAGGCTAATGAGGTAGCTAACTGCATGTGTACAGCACACACTTGCCTCAAACAATGCTGAGTTTTTCAGGAAATTACAAATAGACACTGTATGACACTGATATCTATAAAAATGGGCAAGAAGTTGTTACTGAGGTTAAAAAGAAATTATCAGCCATTTTGAGGCCTCAACACATGGTGTTATTGCACACAATCGTCAGACTCAGTGAGGAGGTCTGGCTTTTTGACTGTTAAATGCTTTAGAGGTGAGTGTGTGGTGATTTCAGTATGGTGTATGCACTGTAAGCTATAAACATGTTAGCTACATTTGCAGTGTAGCTACAGTGAAAAACATGGCACACTAAATACAAATGTTGAATACATTTGGGCTAAAGTGGAAAATCTCTCTCTCTCTCTTTCTCTCTCTCTGATGTAAATGTAAATGCTGGGTCGTGCTCAATCACATCTCGTTTTAGGGAACAGGCAGATTTTTGGCTCTGTGTGGAGATATGACTGCATAAACAGGAAACTCTTATTTTGATTAGAGACAAGCCAGTTCACATCATTGCAAAATTTGTGTGCTTGAGACTTGGCGACTTCGTTACATGGGGAGGCATAAACAGTGTGGTTTAATCATGCACGGTGTGTCTGGATCGGTATATTATTTAAACAACTGGATGATAACATTATGTATATATAACATCCATTGAAAGTTCCTGCTTCTCATTGGCTGGCAGGTGTCCTTTATTTTTATTTTTATTTTTCGTACTGACTTTGAAAAATAAAACTAGCGTCACTAGCGTTAAGCTGGTCAAATGTTCCAGATCAGTGTTCCCGTCATGGCGTAACCATTTTGGAACGCACTGACGAGAAGCGTAAATAATGGTTTAGACCAGGGCTATATTCAGTTTGCTACTGCAATTAAATTACTCGTTTTAATTCCACATAAAAGAATGAGATAATGCCCACTGAGACGTAACCACAGTAACGGTAGTATGACTGTAGTCTTGTCGTGTTGCATATCGTTTAGTTACGAGTAGTTTCTTAGCTAGTTACTAGCTAGCTACTGACAACATGCTTATAATATGAGGCCAGTTGTAGCTCAGTGGTTAAGACACCTGACTACTGATCAGAAGGTTGTGAGTTCAAGTCCCAGCACTGCCAACCCGCCACTGCTGGACCCCCAAGCAAGGCCCTTAACCCTCAACTGCTCTGTTGTATGAATGAGACAAATGTAAGCTCTGGATAAGGGCGTCTGCCAAATGCTATAAATAATATAAAGGAACCCTTGAGGATCCTATTGACATTACAGTGCTAAGCTAGCTAGGTTCTTATTGCAGTAACTGCCTTGTGTAGTTAATACATTTAATAGTATATATCCTAAAGTAAGTAATAGTAGCTAACTTTCTATATAGTTATTTATATTTGATGATCCCCTGATGTAACATTAGCCCTCTATATTTAACACTTTGTTTTTAGCTGATATACTGTTATAAAAAATTCTCACTGTCACGCTAGCTGGCAGGTACTAGCTAGCTATGCATTTTTAATAATGAAAAATATATTTCATTTTATTTTTAAAATCTGGATAAGATAACAGCTGTGTGATACCATGCAATCTGTATATAAACATTTGGATAATTTAAAAGGAAAAAAAAAATATAGACATGTTCCATCAAATGCCCAAACTGTTATATTTAAGGACTCAGATCATTAGTTCAGATTCTAATAGGACACTTAGGACGCAGTTACTGTAGGACTATACATTACAGTAAGACTGGATCTGTTTTACAGTTGATATTAGACAGATAGTGTTACTGTTAATTGTAAGTTAATTGTTGTGTTACAAGTGCCTAATTAGAGTGATCCATGTCAGCGTTTTTCAGACAGATCCTCTTTTTTTTTAGCAACAAATAAAAGTGAATTTTTTTTTACGTATAGCTTATACCCATTTTATTTATTTATAATTCTAGAGCATTTGAAGTGAATGCATTTGAAGTTTAACCAAATATGTTAATGCAGATTGTTAAAAACGTTTGACTGGCAGTTGTTATGAATTTTTTTTTTTTTAACAAAAATTGCAGCTTAAAAAAAAGAGCCAAAAGTGGTTACTGAAGTTAAGGTTAGGGTTAGTTTTAGGTGTGGGCATAGCATTAATTAGTCAGTGGAAGGTCCTCACAGGAATAGCAATAGGGATAGACTTTATATTATGCACTTATAGAAGAGAAATGATTTATAATCGCACTATCCAGCGTCACCCAGATGAGGATGGTTCCCTTTTGAGTCTGGTTCCTCTCAAGGTTTCTTCCTCTTGTCGTCTCAGGGAGTTTTTCCATGCCACCATCACCTCTGGCTTGCCCATTGGTGATAAATAAAAATTTTATATGTGGATTTCTGTGAAGCTGCTTTGTGACTGTCCACTGTTAAATGTGCTATACAAATAAAGTGTGTGTGTGTGTGTGTGTGTGTTGATTTGATGTCTCACTGTATTGTGTCTCTCTGCAGGACATGAGAAGACATGTCATGATGACTCTACTGGACACTGAACAGTCATATGTGGACTCTCTGAGAACGCTGATTCAGGTACAGCCGCTCTCTTTACAGCATCTCTCTCTCTCTTTCTCTATCTCTTTATATGTCTCTCTCCATTTCTGTATCTCTCCTTCTGTTGTTTATCCCTCCTGCTGGATGTCACAAGTGATGTTAGTTGCACTCTTTGACACTCCATGTTATATAACAGTTCACTTCAATAAAACTGTTAGTTCTGTGTGTGTGTGTGTGTGTGTTAGAGAGAGAGAGAGAGAGAGAGAGAGTGATAAAGAAAGCCGCCAGTCCAGGCTGAGGTGTTCCCGACCCACAGGCTCTTTCAGCGTGTGTGTATCACTGTCCCGTCACCATGACTACGCCGGGTTTGGCCCGAGATGCTGCGGCAGTAAAACGGTTCCCATCAGTGCACAATTGCAGCAGCTATTAATGGCCTCATTCTGTTTATCAGCTCTAAATCAGCCTTGTGCACAACGTCACTCAGCTTAAACACTGAATAGAGCTCACGTGGAGAGACAGGCGCTCACGCCGCTCTCAGCAAGGCCAGTTACAAAGGAAAAACGAATAATTTTGTTATGATAGGTTTTTGTTTAACTGTTTGCATTGGGCAGACGTTTTTGTCCAGAACAACCTATTCATGCTTGCATTCATTCATTTTCCTTTTGCTTCTCCTGGCGTGGGGTCATGATGTCAAGTCCAGACTTTTATATCCCTGGCAACAGATTCCAGCTCCTCCTGGGGGATCCCCAGACATTCCCAACCTAACAGTGATATATAATATCTCCAGCGGGTCCTGGGTCTGTATTATCTCAATCCAGTGGGACATGCCTGATAAAGCTCTAGTGGGAGCCAGCCAGGGGGCACTTTATAAAGTGCCCAAAGCCACCTTAACTGCTCCTTGGAGGAGCAGCGGCTATACTCCAAGGCTGTCCTGTATTCAACAAGGCAAAATACACAGTTCTAGCCCAGAAAACGTGTGGTTTTAATAATAAAAATTAATCGCTGTAGAATAATAATAATGATGACTTCTGACTCCTTTCCAAATAGCTAGTCTGCTAACTAACTGCTAGTAAACTTGCATGAACCCAGGTTCTATCCAAGATTCAAGCTACAAAGCTTTATTTGTCACATGCACATTTATAGCTGGTACAAAGCAATAGACTATACATCTAATATACAATATACAATGGTAAGATAAGGTGTAATGTATGAGCTGTACGCTGGTGCTGTGAGTGTGGGTTGGTGTTATGAGATGAAGTAGTGATCAGGAGTTCAGGGTTCTGATGTCTTGGGGGAAGAAGCTCCTCCTAAGCTTGTCAGTTCTGGCCATGTGATTGTGGAGGCGCTTTCCATACTGGAGCCATCCTGAACTCAGGATGGTTACTGTATGTGTGCAGTTTCTGTGCATGTGGATTGGCGACTGGAAATTGCCCCTAGGTGTGAATGAGTGTGTGATTGTGTTTTTGCATGGTGCCCTGTGATGGACTAGTGTTTGCATGGTACTCCGTAATGGACTAGTGTTTGCATGGTACCCTGTAATGGACTAGTGTTTGCATGGTACTCCATAATGGACTAGTGTTTGCATGGTACTCCATAATGGACTAGTGTTTGCATGGTACCCTGTGATGGACTAGTGTTTGCATGGTACCCTGTGATGGACTAGTGTTTGCATGGTACCCTGTGATGGACTAGTGTTTGCATGGTACTCTGTAATGGACTAGTGTTTGCATGGTACTCCATAATGGACTAGTGTTTGCATGGTACTCCATAATGGACTAGTGTTTGCATGGTACTCTGTAATGGGCTAGTGTTTGCATGGTACTCCATAATGGACTAGTGTTTGCATGGTACCCTGTAATGGAC